TATGTTGAATTCAATGAAAAACATCAGCTCTACTCATATCATTGAGGGAAAAATCAACTACCAGTCCTTCATCAATTTAAATGCCATACCCACCGCTTAGTTTCAAGTTTGCTGGAGGTATATCGATGCTTAACACGTATTCTCTATACTCGTATGTGAGTAGGGTTTCGAGATACGAAATAGGGTGAATACATCTCATTTCTCTATACACTTTTATATAATTATTTTATGATGCTACTAAGTAGATGTCGAATATATAACAAAAGCTCGTTTGAGGAACAAATTTCCCGGTACTAATAAGTTTATTTAAATAATTTGGCCTTCAAAAGTTCTTTTCTCCTGTCCATTGGCAACACGTACATTCTTCTCTTATTGAATTTGGCTGTCTGACCTTTGGTATATATAGTGCTTTCTTTAAGATACCAGCCCCCCAGGGTAATATATAAATTATCTCCGATAGTCGGTTTCATTCTTTCCTTTACACTCAATTTGCTCATCCCATTTTACTCCGAGGGAATCTGTCTTTTCGGATATCCTCTTTTTAGGTGGCGATTGGAGCTCTGCCCTTCAGGTTTCTTTACACTCCTTATCTTCCTTTCCCCATAAAACGGGTCAACACTTTTAGTATACTCTTCATTGCTTGGCTTCATTATCTCTACTCAGGCTTCCCATACTGCCAGTAAGCAACCTGTCCATCCAGAGTCTCGCTTGTCAATGCCAGTGCGACCAGCCGCGGCCTGCAACGGCAGTCTGTTCGGGGCAAAGTCGGCCCGGCCGAAGAGCTGCTCAGAGGAGAACTCGAAAAGCTCTGTAGGAGGTGAGGTTAAAAGACAAGTAAATGCGGCAGTGGGAAGAAGCAATGTGCTGGGGGCAATGTTAGAAACGAATGGTACAGAATATCTGAGGCTGGCAGATCCTATGACGGTCCAGACGTTGCAGTTGCGACAACGAGGAACTCGCTGGCCATTCTCGCCCACCTGCGAATCCACGCCAGCAGTCTCAACTGCAGCCAGTTCACTCGATACCATTTGTGAAGGTCCCGCTTACTCTGGGGCTCGTGTCTATTCTATTGAGCTGGAGCGCGGGCCGAAGGGATTCGGTTTTTCATTGCGTGGAGGACATGATGATTTTGAGCGGATTCCTTTGTTCGTGTTGCGCATAGCTGAAGGTGGAGTGGCCAGCATGGACGGGCGAATGCAGGTAAGAATAGTGTGAAAGGAGTCAGTGAAAGGGAGAGAAATATCCCACGCTGTCGATTAATTATGATTATTTATTTTATTTATTATTGCGACTACTACTACCACTATTATGATGTAAATTTCAAGGAAGACCAGGCATTTTCCAGTACCACATTCTGTGGAGGGATTGCTGATGAAGCCAAAAAAATAAGTAACTTGGTTGATTGCTATAGAAAAAACAAATTTGCTTCATCGACATTCCCACCACAGAGTGTGATATGGGAAAATGACCGGCTTTCATAGACGCTAACATCTGCCCTGCAAACCATGGGCATTCGTGGCAACGTGGCGTAGTGGTTAACCCGTCGAGATTATACGCTGCAGTATCATCGTTAGAGTCCCGTTTGGCGTGTTGATAAGACCTATGCGAGGTCAAAACTACAGTCCACTCTGGATGAGAACATCTTTTCGGAGAGAAGGGATATGTGGAATTGAATAAAAACGTCAGCTCTACTCATATCATTGTGGGAAAATTCAATTAGCAGTCTCCCTACCACCCTAAACAAAATAAGATGAATACATCTCATATAAATGTATTATATCATAATGGACCTGATTTTAGCAGACGCAAAGTTTTTCCATACATTGAGACTGAAATGTCTGCACAAGAGTCAATTATTTACGTAAATTCAGAGGATATGTTTTAATGCTATCATTAAGAGCAAAATCACCTTAAGCTAGAAACGATGATAGATTTACCAAAAATCACTCCAAAAACAAAAACTTTTATTTAATACTTTGATGCCCCTTTTTCCTTAATCTCCTATGGTTGCTATTTCATCTGCTGATTTCGAATAGTGCTAATAGTTTCACTTGACTCACAAGAGTGGACATTTCTTGACTATACAAACAAGAACAAATATACAAGTAGTTTGAACTTGTTTTCGCAACTTGGTCATATTGGTAGGAAGACTTAGAGGAGCGCACCTAATCCCGAGTTCATTGTTTGTATGATAATTTCTAGAGTCAGACCGTGGACATGTTACATTCCCAGACGTTTCGCCAGCAGCATAATCGGCATTGTCAGTGGACATTGCTAGACTTAG